GCATTTTAAGTTTGCATTGTAAATGAAAAATTGCAAACTGCAACAAGGAAAAAATTTTTAAATAAAAGAGTTTTGAATATTCTGTTGACTTCTGTTAAAGCCTGTTCTTGTACTAACACATTAAGCTAGCAACGAAGAAAAGTGATTGATAAAAAAGTTGTAAATGGTCAAATGAAAATGTGTAATAATTTAATTTTTATGATTCTATTAATAGTTTGCACATGGCGTATGCGAAACCTTCTTTCCTTGTCATATTTCATAAAAAATAATTTATTACTCATTTTAATTTTACCATTTACAACTTTATTTATCAATTTTCTTTGCTGATAGCTTGATGTTTTTGCAAAAGAAAAAGACCTTGTGGACGGTTTCTGGCTCTATCTCTAAAATGGCTTGCTCGATTTTTGCTTAAAGGGCCTGAATCGTTAATGTATTGTTCACGTAACATCGGCCCTTCAAAGCACCCCACAAAACAAAAAAAAAAAAAATCTAAAGTGACATCGCCGATGCGACTGGTAATACGATTACCGAACTTGGTGCGCAAAAGATCGATTGTGCAACGGGTTGTGTGGCATGGCGTGCCATCCTGCTGAAACCAATTGTCGTCCAAGTCCATGACTTAATATTCCGGCCAGCTACGATGATCCTCAGTCACCATTTTTCCGTGTAAAAATATGTATATCTTGTCTTATAAAATTAAGACGAAATACTGTTTAATGAATTCAAAGGGACTTCAAACAAAATTGAAAATTAAAGACATAATTTTCCTACTTATACAGTATTAGCATAGTGTTGTGAATAAAATCAATAAAAATAGTTTATAGAGAAATCTTCGTCTTTTCGCCCTAAAATAATAAAACTTTTTCAAAAATACGTACGTATTTTTTTCATCGTTTCTGGGTCAACTGATAACTATCGAAAATAAAACGCTTATTAAGTCGAAATCTGTAACCAAATGCATACGACGGTGCAACATTAAATAAATCAAAAGGAATTGAAATCTTAAAAAAAAAAGTAAAAAGTATTATTAGAACTAAATTCACACAGAACAAAAAGTAATATAGTAATTTTCTTCGTTTATCTATATATTAATTTTAATATTTATGTAATTAATAAAAAATGACTATAAAATTTTTTACCAAGAAAACTGCTTGTGGGTTTCACTTTTAAAAATCATTCGTTTTTATGTTTTATTGTTTTCTACCAAACATAACTCACCCACCCACTCATAAGAACATAATTAACTACTTACATAATCGAATTAATCTTTTGGTTTGAGCAGATAGTAAGAACCTGCGTATTTGTTGTATTGCATATTGAATTGGAGGCGTAATTACATGATTAGTAATTTAACGGATATTTAAATACTGCTCAGATCAAATGCCGCATGCTTTGCTGTGTATATAAAAAAAACTATCTAATATCGTATAAGCATTTGTACATAATTTTTCAACACGTTCCTAGCTTTAATTCACGGTTCACAATAGGTAAAATAACAAATTTCTAAAAGTTATGAAAATACATTTTTTGTGCTTAAAATATTTATTTACTGCATACTATTGCATTTCCACGTGGCTATTTATGTGCGCTACTGGAAAAGTACCATATGTACAGTGGCGAGAATATAAATAGGGAAGATACATTTTAATATTCTTTGGCTATTTCCTTTTCGTTTTTTTTTTTGTGTTTGTTATTGCAAGTTTGTCCTGCAAGTTAAAATTGCAAACAATGTACCAAAATTAGGAAAATTCGACAAAGTTTCATGAAAATTTGGAGCTTTTTAATTATATTTCATACAGCCGGTTTCCCCAGCAATTTAAGTGGAAAATGATTTTTTATTTTCGGTCAATTTGCATATAAAATTCAAAAAATTAAAATCATTTTTCACTTAAATTGCTCTCGTGAAATACTCGATAAAATTCTGTCAAAAAAATTTAAAATTTTGATGAACATTTGTTAAAGTTTGTCAAATTTTTATAAATGTTCTACAAAGGTTGAAGCTTTGATTTACATGCTTTTTTTAGACAGTAAGCTATATTAAAAAAAAAAAATTATAAAAAATGTTTAACAAAAAAATATCCAAAGCTTGCTAAAATTGCTCTTCCTTATTCACATTTTCGTCACCGTAAATAACATGCATGCTTTACTAATCTCCACCGACCACATATTTACTAACAAATCCATTATTCACTCTGAAACTTTTAAGCTTAGTTAGTTATTTTTTTATATATAAAATTCTTGCAAACATGTGTCAATATTCATATATGTACATATGTATATTCATAATTTATGCTTTTCTGCATGTGCAGTTTTCTATGCTAAGTTGCTACATTTCGTTTATCTGCATTAAGGATAATGAAATCCATTTTAAGTTTGACATTTTCTGGATTCACTCTGTCTATCATCACTTACGTTTGTTTACTTTTTAAACTCGTAATTTTAATGGAAACTGATACTGATACAAAATAAAATTAGGGCATTCAATCTGAGTTGCTTAGATAAATATTCATGCAGAGATTATTGTTTGTGTGTCTGCTAAACGCACATGCCAAACAAATGTTTGTATTTCATGTAGGGTGGTCCTTAAATGTCAAAATTTTATTAATGACATCCACGAAAATTTCAAAATTGTAAAAAAAATTTTAGCGGCCGCTACCAGGGGTTGAAAACATTTAATTTTTTTTTTACCACAACAATTCGACAAAATCTTGCCCTTGACCAGATATAACTGCGTGTTGAAACTTATTCATATAAATTCATAAAATCGGTGAGCTATTGCCGGTCAAAGTCAAAATAATGTCGAATTTTTGTCATACAAAAATTTTATTTTTCAAACCAAGGTAGTGATCCATAAAAATCAGTATTGAAATTTTCGTGGTTTTCTTTATTTTGTGGGAAGAACATGATTTTGATATTTTTTAAGGACCACCCTAAGGCATACTTAGGTACATAAGTTTTGTTTATAAAGATATTTTTTGATGTCTGTTCGCTGTTCAATTTCTTATTTAATTGCTGATACGCTATTTCATGACGATTTCACGGCTATCCGGGTTCTATGATAGCCAATCCTAACGGATGGAGCATTTTTTCTTTTCCTACGTTTTACTTTGAATTTTCGACTGTTGTCTTCCACAAATTCCCAGCCGTCAGCACCATCTCCAATATTCCAACTATTGATATGCCTGGCACCATTTCCAATCTAAAATCATATGTATAGTTCTTATTTACGGGTTTAATATAATAATAGCGGAATCTTTATGGCAAATGCCGCATAGATTTTAAAAGTTTTCTCTAGTCAAATAGTCAGTCGTTTGTTCCGGCGCATAAGTGCTCGCGCTTTCCATGGCAAGAACTGATTAATATCTTTTTCTGAATAATACAAATTATTTCTGAAAAAAAAACAACACAGCTCAGATGACAAAACAGTTTAAATTTAAAAATCTGCATAAAAATATTTAAAAATCTTTTCAACGGAATCGTAATAATGAGATTTTTGATGCTGTTGTTTACTTTTTTTCAAAGATTGATTTACGAAAGACTTGAATAACTGGGCCCAAACTACTCTGTTTTAGACTTATGGGGTCTCAGTAGAAAGAATCTCATCATTGCGATTCCGTTGAAAATTTGTTTATTTTTTTTTTAACATTTTTATGCAAATTTTTTAAGCTTCAACCGTCTTGTCATTTGACGGGATTTTTTTCAAAAAAAAATCTTTAAGAAACTATTTTTATTCATAAAAAACTCCATTTTTGCAGATATTTTTAAATTGGTCCAGCTCACGTATATCTTTATATTTTTCCGAAATATTTTGCAGGACGTCTTAAAGTATAACAGATTTCATAATTCCAATGGAAAAATAGTAGCGATTTTTTTTTTTGTATGGGGAGTGATGCAGTCTAATGTACATACTTGTGTCCTATAGTGGTCTTGTACTAACGACTAACTCCCATCATCTATGCTTTCTGGTGCACCCAGCGAAAAAAGCTGAAATGCGCGAAAGGAAATAGTGTTGCCGCATTTGGCAAAAGGAGATTTCGGCGGTTAGGAACTATTTTTGGAATAGTCATTTTGATTTGCTGAAGAGTTTCATTATATTAGCCCCATTCTTTCTTGATTGAACATCGTGCCAGAACCATTAATCTCAGACTATTTTCGGCACCTTTAAAGAACAGCTCACCTCTCACTATTAGGACAAACATTTTGAGAAAAGGCCCAATTAAATAAAAATCCTTCGGCCTAATAGCCTAGGCTGCGTTGGACGCAAGAAAAGCCAGTTAACCATACTTTCCTACTTTTTTATTAGGTCAAATCATCATCAACATTATTTTGTAAGCTTTTTCGTTCTGTGTGCATCACTGCATTAAAGCAAACATTTCTGATACGATTATAAAAACATTTGCATCAAAATCACAATACTATATATATATATATATATATATAAATGTATGTCAAAATCCTACCACAAATTTATCGTTTGTATGTGTGTATTATAATTATTTATGTATGTACGTGTGTTGTATCTACAGAATCTCCCTTATGCATATCTATTTGTATCTATATATGTATGTATGTTTGTATTTGTGTATGTAAAGTATCTTAAGACATCATTATATCGACTATACAATAACACATTGCCACATATCCACAAACATTTTTGGAACAAACCAAAAACCAAAATTTTTAATCACTCAACTAAACAAAAAAATCATCAAAATTATTTAATTATAATTTTTTATTTTGTTGTGCAAGCCCACAAATGAGATTTATGAATGAAAATAATTTAAATAATTTAAACTTTTTTTCTGTTAAACCAAGCGAGAACTCGAAGTAAAAGTATCGCAAATTGATTAAACGAAAATCACAAAAATATTAAAATTAATATATTTTTAAATGTCAATCTAAAAAATAGGGAAAAAATAAAAAAAAACAGAAAATATTCACTGCAAATTGCCAACAACAAACAAGCCAATCTACAACAATTATAATTCTCTGGTTTACAGTCGATTTCGTGAATGGCGACGCCAAGAGTCCCCAGCACACGGTGGTCCATCCAATGTACGTGAGCTACAGCAGCATACCGACCTCGGCAAGCGCTAGCGCCACATTGCTCTCAAACAAGCATCACAACAATCACCAAGCACTTAACAACAATAACAACCACCACCAAATTCATCCGCAACAACAGCAACTGCAACTGCAGCAGCAGCTCAGTCATCATCAGCAACCAAATAATTTTAACAGTAACACATTTCTAATACACACGAACAGCATCAGCAACAACAGCCATAGCCATAGCCGTAGTCATAGTCATAATCATAGTCAGAGTCAGAGTCAAAGCAACAATAGTCGCAGCCGCAGCCGCAGCCGCAGCAATAGCCAAAGTGGTGGGGTTGGTGGCGGTGGAATTGGCAATGGCGGCGGTGGCGCGGCGAGAAAGGGTCGTGGCGGCGGCGGTGGTGGCGGCGGTGGCGGCGATGGCAACTGCAACTCGCTCAGCGCAAGCAAAACGAGTACACTGACGCGCATTCTTTACAGCCCGAAGAGTAGCAATAAGATCGGCTCGTCTACGGGCAACACCATACTCCCCGTAGATATGTTGCAGCGGCAACAATCGCTACCACAAACGCATACCGTGACGTCATTAGGCGGTGGCGGCGGGCAGCATTACTATGACGACAGCACCGCCAAAGCGGATCAGCTGTACACGAACAGCAATCGACGGCAATTCTTGAATGGTACGACATATCAGCAGCACCAACAGCAGCAGCAGCAACAACAAAATTCTGGCACACCAAACTCCTCAACGCACGACAACACCACATCGTCGCTCTCGTATGCTTCGCTGCAGAATTCCAATTTGAATTTGACACAGAGCTTGCGTGGCGGCCATGGTGGTGGTGGGTTTGGCTACACGGGCACGGGTGGTGGTGGTGGTAATGGCATGTGTGCGGGTGTGGTGGGCTCTAGCTCTGGCGGTTTTGGTCGTGGCGGTGGCGGTGGCGGGGGCATGACCGCCGCCTCGTCGCAAGCCACGCTCAGTCCGCTTAGCAATAGCCAATTTAGTCTCAGCAATAGTATCAACAATAATTATAGCAACCATAGTGGCAGCACCGCCAACAACAACAACCACACCAATTACAGCAATGTCTTAAATAACCATACTAACTATGTAAATAACAATAACGGTAGCATGGGTAGCGGCGTTGGTGGCGGTCACTTCGCGCGCATTCACGCTAAACCCAAGCCGCCTAAGTCGACGAGCTACAGCAGCTTCATCAACAATGGCAGCGCGGCGAATCTCACTAATGGTGTCGGCATCGGCGTCGGTGGCGGCGGCAGCAGCAGCGCTGGGGGTTCCATGACCAATATCCATCGTCCAGACATCAAGTATACGCAAATGTCCAACGAGCGCCTGTCGCGCAACTTGGAGGAGGGTCTAGAGGACGACAATTTCTCGCTGCAGAATTTCAAAACCGATGACGGTATTACCTATGTACCCTTCCAGAAACCAACGCCAGGCGCACTCTTCGTCGGCCAGAATAACAATCCCTCGTATGTGTCGTTGAACTCATTTGGAGGCACGCAGATTTCGCCCAACAACAATGCTAGTCCAAATACGATTAACAACAATGCTTTACCGCAATTCACGCGCAGCATTTCTCAGTTGGCGCCACCACCACCGCCACCGCCACCGGCTCTCCAAGAAGGAGAGATACTTTTAGAGCGCGGCGCTGTACTACAACCCGCCTACAACTATCAGCCACATGCACAGCAACAGCAAATGCTGTTGCAGTCACAGGCTGCACAAGGCGCGCAGCAACAGCAACAGCCACTAATGAATCCTGCCAATCGTTTTCTCTACCAACAAAACGGCCTACCATTCCATCCAGCCTACAATAAGCCCATTCCAGTGCCACTACCGGTGCCCACGCATACGTCGTCGCCCATGTCTGCGCAATATCATCACCACATGAGCCCAGTCGCCAAACAACCGCCACGCCCAACAAACATTCCATTACCCACCATTCCGCCACATTCATTCGACACGCCCATTTCACCCTCGGAGGTTACACCTCCACCACCTCCTGCGCCACGTCCACACATTTTCCAGCCACGTTCCGGCCATGCGCCTTACCCCGATCTCTCACCTGAGGTGACCGAGAAATATGCCATGCCCACACAGTACGTACCGCGCTCACCGGTCGCTTCGCGTATTGCGCGTCGTCAGCGCCAACAACAACAGACGTCGCATAATTATCACCACCAGCAGTCGGCGCAGCCGGCGACGCATCACGTGAATACGTCAGCAAACTTTTGCGATCAAGTGCGTGATGCGCCACCTGGCTATATAGTGGACGCAGGCTTCAGCATTGTGCGCGCCAAAAGCTATGACCGCCTGGCCTCGTCGTCGTCGGGTTCCGTGCGACGCGATGCGAAAGGCGAAGCACAGTCGAAGCAGGCGCAAGTCAATGCCGAAGCAGCGCCGCATGTAAATAGGCGCAGTGGTCGTCGTGATGCCGCCGCACGCGCGCGTCCCCGATCATATTGCAATTCGATGTCTGGTGGTGAGGGCGTGATACGCGGTAGCTTGGTTTATGAGCGCGATTTTGTGGTCGAGAGTGGAGTTAATGGTGCTGATGGTGTTGGTGGTAGTGGCGCAGGTGAGGGAGGTGGACAGTTTGTTGGTGGTGATCAGTTGGCATAGGCAGAGGCTGGGAAAGTGAGTAGTACAGTATTGGAGGCACAAAAGCTGCGAACTACCAGCGATCGTACACGATATTGAGGTAGAGTTTCGGAGAAGGGATATGCATACATAGTATTCGGGAATATAGTTGACAAAACCGCTTTGTAAAATGTACAGTGATTGAGAAAAGCCAATGGATGCATTCTTTCTCGATAGGCTGAGAGCGTAATGAGGTCAGAAAAATAATTAGCGCATGACATGTTTTGCGATAAAACGATGTTGAAAGCAATAAAAGTAGGAGATACAGATTTTCCGAAGCTCTTAGAGCGGCGACTAACTTATAGAGCTTTTGCTCTTTTGATGCTCATATAAAATCAACAGAAATCTTTAAAGGCTCTGCCCGCGGTCTATGTTTTTGATCGAGTCCGCCTTAGAGCGGTGATGAAATTCTGAACTTTTTAAGCTTTCTATCTATTTTATATAAGCATGCACAGGCTAAAAGCCCTCTCTGCTCATTACAGCCTCAAGAGTTTTTAGTCGTCTTAAATTGGTCATGACAAATTTTAAGCGCTTCAGTAAAACCATAAGGAGCTTACATAGGTTTAAAGGAGTTGTGAGCGCCTTTGTACAAAGGGTGGAATTTCAAAAGCTCTTTCTGTAGCACGAAAGCTCCTCAAGGAATAACAAAGTGCACAAATGCACTCGGGTAAGAAATTTAAAAAAAGGTCAAAAAGCAAGAGATTATTAGACCGATTTGTAGAGTAGTGATCGAAAGCAAAAATTTTAAAGCTATTTGTAGCTAAAAGCCGTAGAAGTGGTACTTTGTGAAGAAAAAGTTGTGCGCAAAGGACTTTTACTTTCCAAAACCGTTACCTATATATTGCACTTACAGCCTCTCCAAAGTCACCGAGAATCGCCAAGAAGTAGCTATCATCCCATTCAAAGCGGTTTCAGTTCATTTCTGTGTTTTATCTGCACCCACTTTCATTGCGCTTAAACTCACTTCATTCATTTATATTCATGCCCATGCCGCTGCATTGGTTTTGTTTAAAATTTTCTTGCTATTTTCTTTTAATTTCATTAATTTTAATTTCTTAGACTCATAGATTACGATTGCTGATTTGAATGCTCTCATTTGCGGAAAAGTGGTGGTTAAATGGTTGTTGAAGCTTCTTCTTTATCTAACTCACTCTCTCACGTAGCTGCGGCCTCTCAATCGAACATGAAAAATTTAATCATGCTCTCAAACATGCAAGCTCTCTACTAAATCGTTTGTTTAACGCGCGCCAGCCCACTTCGTGTCACCGTGGCGCCGTCGCGCCGTTAAATGTTGCTTGCGCTGAAGTTGCTGTTGCTACTATCTACGAGGGCGATGTTGCTGCAATACATATATTGCTAAGTGAATATAAATTTGCCACAGCAAACGGCTTAAAAGATGTATGTAAATGTCAAGCGAATTCCTTGAAACATTAAATATTAAGAAAACGTTAATCAATTTAATGGCATGCAAATGTTTGCAAAGAATGCAAGTGAAAAAATTTGAAATTCAATGTTGTGTACTAAAAATGTGTTAAAGAAAAACGGAAATGAAAAATGTTCCAAAATATTTGGTGTTGTTAGTTAGTTTGTGTATTAGAATTTATGTTCTTAACCTGCATACGAATACATACTTACAACACACACGTATACATACTTATACACTTGTTTGTATTGTAAATTGATGATGTAAATTATACTATATACATACAATGTATTATTATTTAACGAACACACATACTTATTTAGTTATTTGTATGTATGGATATCCTTGTACATAATATTGTTTTTTTTTTTTACTACAACATAAAATAACTTTAATTCTTATAACAATACTGGTATGGGTATTCGATTTGCTTTGAACGAATTTGGCGTTTATACTATGAAGGTATAATAGATTTTGAATAGAAATCTCACAAAACTGGATACACAAAACACGATTAATAAGTAGCTTAGCTAAACACAAAATTAGTAGGGTTTGAGCGCATATGACGGTGCTGGCAACATGTATCGGGCGACGGCATGTTGCTAGCGCTGGCGTAGAGGATAATATGTTGGTAGAGAAGGTGGTGGGCGTACGTGGCAATTAACAAATCACATGAGGGATTTATTGAGTTAAATCGAGAATGAGATTAATAAAGATCGGTGCAAAATTTGTTGAAATTAAAAAAATTGCGAAAGAGAATGAAGTGAGATCAAGGTAATTCAAAAGAAAAGAGAAAATAAATACAGGCAAAGAAAAATGAGAACGTTGGGACCGAAGTGATAAGTAGAAGGAGAAAAAAATACAGACAAAGACATGTTTACAACCTAAAGTACGGGCATAGAAAGAGACTCAGATACGGAATAAAAAAAAAAACAAATAAAATAAAAATAAAAATACAGTTATCTAAAGAAACAGATATAACATGCAGGTTCAGACAAAAGATAAAGCTCAAATTTCATAAAGAGATGAAGATAACAAACAATAAAGAGATATTGACAAACAGGCACATCAATACCAAGGGAACGATAACGATAAAGATAAGATTAAAGACAAAAAAAAGATAAAAAATTATAAAAAAATTAAAGGTACAATTAAAATTTAAAATAAAGCTGGAGATTTAAAGATTAAAACAAAGATGTATATATATAGACAAAGATGAACCTAAGGATAAACCTCAACATAAAGAAATCGATAAACATAATAATAAAGATAAACACAAAGATACAGACACAGATACAGAGAGAAGATTAGGAACCCACATGATAATGAAAGAAGGAAAGAAGAAAAGATTAATAACAGCTAAAAATTTGCAATATATTTTTAATTTTGAATAGCTTTCATGAACATGAAATGTTATCCATAGAATTGTGCATCGATATGAACACAAGCTGAATATATATGGCCATGTCCGTCTGTCTGTCTGTACGTCTGATGGAAATCATCAAGGTGGGCCCACAATAAGTTATAGCTCCCATATATGTAATTTGCTGATTGTTCAGACGTGAACTTTTGTGATACATATAACTCCTACATTTAGGCAGTCAATATCATGAATTTTTGGGAGCTATTCCACTTTTCGATAAATATGAAGACGATCGGTTCGCTAGTACTTATAGCTCCCATACAACTGATTGTTCGGATATAAGGTCTTGCTTTAAAAAGCATTAGACGAAATCCAATTATCAGAACCATTCAATTGGCTCTTGTTTGAACTCTTATAGCAGAAAACGAAGGGCAGGGAATATTTTGAAGTAGCTAAAAAGAGAGCTCAGCCCAAAAGATATTGAAATTCTATTATAATCACCTAAGCTTGGTTGTACCGGATACGATAATATAAAATTTTATTTATTTTTTTTTGCATACATTTTTAAATTTGTCCTGTAAAAATTATGTTGCCTATGGTTAGTGAATCTACCTGTCCTTATAGATGGTGGTCCTTAAAAATATCTACATATAAATTTTCTATGGGGCACCCATTTTTTCTTCTACGTACAAAATAAAGACATCCATACAAAATTTCGAAATTAAAAAGAAAATAATAATAAAATATTTGGAGTCGTAACGAGGGTTTGAGAAAACTATATATATATATTTTTTTTAAATCGCAAACATTCGACACAATTTTTACTTGATACTTTATAAATTTGACATATTATTTCAATTTATTCATACAAATTAAAAAATTTGCTAGGTTATAGTTGGCGAAAGTAAAAATTTTAAAAAATTTTTGCGATTTAAAAAATTGATATTTTTCAAAAACTGGTTGCGACCCCTACATTCTTTTTTGGTATTAAATGTTCGTGCATGTCTTTATTTTGTACGTTAAAAATAATCAAGGAGTGCCCCATTGTTTTGATATTATAAGGACCATGTTTCAGTTTCAGTAATTTATCATAAAATTTACACTTAAAAAATTAAAAAAAATTTGGTTCGAATGAAAATTTTCAATTGAACCTCATTCTTGACATAATTTCGATCTCTTTTAAAATATATATGCAAATAATTCCTCATATGATCTTCGGTCCTACAGATGTAATCAATTTCGATCTCACTTTGAAAAAAAAAAAAACTTAAACACTGAAAACACGGAGCTGCCATTTTGAAACTTAGTTTTGCAAAGCGATATTTCTATAAAAATTTAATAAAAATTGAAAGGCCATATTGTTTTTTTTTAAGTAAAAAATTTTTATTTGTTATTTTTATTTTTAAACACGAGCAAAAAATTCGATTCATTGAAAGCACTCGCCTTTTTGTAAAACTACTAAGGAGGACAGTGGTGTATGTAGTTATATAGCAACTGGAATAATAATAGAGATTGCCTTGTAGTCGCAGCGTATGTAGACTTGTGTGTATGTACTATTTAAAGAAGTAATTGTATAAATAAGTAAACAAATTATCAAAAAATATGCCGAGCCCTCTCATTCGATTGTCTTTCTATTTACGAGTAGAGCAAGCGAGATAGCGAGTAGAAATTTATTTTTTATTAAACTTTTCTGAGCGAATAACAAAAAGAAAGACAGAAAAAACTAAACGATGTTCTTTTAATTTCAACTGTGATATAGATACGAAAGTTGGAGTATATAGAAAAAAAAAACAAATATTGACGAAAATGAAAGCAACAAAATATTTAGGTAGTAAAAGTTATAGAAAGACGAAACGATAAAAAAAAGTTACAAATATTTTGCATAGAAGGCAATGTATACATATGTATTTATTTACTTGCAAGTATGTAGTAGAATTTGAAAGCGGCTAGTTAGTTTTGCCCACTTATGCTAGGTGCACACTTGGTAAACTAAGAAGAAAAACGAAATTTTTGAACAAGAATTCGTGGAGTAAAGCTTTCGTAAAGTAAAAGGAGTAAAAAAAATAGATTCATTGAAAGAAAGTACCGCTTAAGCCAAGTGTGAATACAGCCTAATGCGTGTAGTATAAAATTTTAGAGCACGCAATGTAAGAAAGAAGCCTAAAGTGTAATAAATGAGAATCAAAATTTTATATTTACAAAATGCACACTGTGTATAGCTACTACCTACGTAAATATAAAAATAAAAAAGTAAAAAATATTAAAAAAAATATTTTTAAGTTAAATTTAACAGAGATTGGAATTTTTGATTAAAAGTATACATATTAATAAGTTGTAGTTGCCTTTTTGCATAACAATAACTGAAATTGCACGCAAGTAAAAATGAAAGAAAATAAGTAAATTTAAGAGAAATTAAATATATACACTGAAAATAATTTAAGCAAAACTTAAACTAAAATCAGACTTTGAAAAATTATTAGCTAACAAACTGTTTTGAACAACTACAAATATTTCAAAACAATCGGCAAACTGCAAACATTTATTGGTGCGCAATAAATGTGCGCACACTCACACTCTGACACACTGTAAGTCTTTTGATTTAGCAATTATGTATCACTTGGTAACCCTACTGTGAGTGGTATTCCTAAATAACTTTCAAAACTAAAATAATTGCAAAAAACACAAAGTTAAATGTATAAACAAAATAAACTTAAAAAACCCCTAAATAGCAAAAATAGAAATGAAGCAGTCTTGTACGCAACCAAAATTAACGTAAAACCGAAATAGGCGATACATTTTTATATTTAAGCTTACCAAAAGACACACACATACACACTCAACTAGTTAAAAGAATTTTAAATTGCTAAACGTAAACTGAAAAACAAAACAAGAAACTGAACTTACCCTTACTATTAAATGTTGTTGTAAAACTCAAAGCAGGATGACTGCACAAGTTCGAGTTTAAAATTTAAGAATTTAAGAAGAAAGTAAAAAGAAATTATTTGAAATAAACCGAGTATTAAAAGTACATAAATGCATACCAACAAACAATTGAATAAACTTACATAAGTAAATCAGAAGAACTAGTAAGAAATGATGTTTCAAATAAATGTTTTCCTTTTTTCAAAGTATACCGTAATTAAAGTTTACTGTGATTTTTTGATTGTTTTTATAGTACATGGAAACATACAAGTACATAATGTAAGCTTAGCTTTTGCCCTGGAACACTTTTGAAGTTTTCGAAATCTCAGATGGAGTTTGGGATTTGTTAATTATGAAAAAACAGCTTATGATGAGGGGTTTGGTTTTTAGTTTATTTCTTGGATATTTTCTTCCTTTAGAGCAGGCGCCTTTATGATTTCTAGACTAAACCGCAATAAAGCAGAAATAGCAGCTTTGAGTCGTGCTCGTGTGCTTTCAGTGAGAAGAGCGCCGCTCAGCTGTCGAAGTGTACATGAA